CTATATTATAAATATATATAAATGTCCACATATATATATATATATATATATATATATATATATATATATATATATATTATATATATATATATATATATATATATATATATATATATATATATATATATATATATATATATATATATATATATATATATATATAAGAGCTCGTTTATACAGGCTCGATTAAGTATATTATACTTAATCGAGCCTATATAAACGAGCCTATTATATTCAAGCTCGGCTTGTTTAATAAACGAGCCTAATTTTTTGTTCAAGCCCGTCTTACCATTCGAGCCGAACATGAACGAGCTCTTGTCGAGCCGATCACCGAGCCGTTCACGAACACGAGCCAGGATTTACAGTCTTATATATAGAGAGAGAGAAAGGGAGAGATGAGGAAGAGAGAGAGATTTATAAATATATATATTTAATATTTATACAAATATATATATATATATATGTATACAGCTATTCACAAAAGTTTAAACGAGGGTGTAATTTTAAGAACAAATCTTTGGTTTTTCTTCAATAATAATATAACGGAAACAGATATTAAAACAATTTTTCCCCATTCGGTAACTAGGTTTTCTGATCAAAAATAAATTAAAAAAGTAGGTTTTGACTAATAAGTGATCTCTTGGGAATTTGATTAATAGATAGATGTGAGAAATTAATTAGTGTCATAAAAGTTTAAAGGAGTTTATTAAAATTCAATTATTTGTTAAGTAATTAATTAATCCGATGCGAAAATTGTTTTAAAACTTAAACATAAGTAGCTTGAGTGGTTTTCAGTCAATAGAAATCGTCACAACATTATTCAACAGCTTCATATTCAACGAAAATCAACTGAAATCATTGCAAATTTTAAACAATTTTAAATTGCGTGCAAATGGGCCGAAAACCAGTTTCAAGTGAGATCAAATGGCAAATTATTGGTATGTCTAAGTCAAAAATTCACAACAACGTTTAAATAAACAAAAAACTTGGGGTTTCTGAATCTTGCGTACAAAAAACAGTCAAAACCTGGAAGCTTATCAAGGACGTCGTTGCTGCAGAGAGTATCCTAGGCACAGCTACAAAAAGCAAGCACAAATCTTCAACGAGTCGAAAAACAAACATAATGTAAGCAGAGAGCTCGTTAGGCGAACATTGCTGCAAAAAGGTATTGGAACGTACATTGCAGCAAAAAAACCTATTTTATCAATCATTGACCGACGTAAACGGCAAATATGGTCAAAAGATTGATTAAGCTGGACTGTTGAAGACTGGTTAAAAGTTATTTGGAGTGATAAAGCTAATTTTTAAGTTGTAATTCGCAAGGGAAGACTATATGTCAAAAGATTTGCAACGGAGAAATATTCAGAACAGTTTTTGCAACCACGTCGACAAGGCGGTGGAGGTTCCATCGGTATTTGGGGATGTTTTTCTCACAAAGGTATCGGTATGTGTGAGCTGTACGAAGGCCATATAAATCAGTACACCTACAAAAATACATTGAAAACGTGTTTAATTCCATCAATCAGACAGTTGTATGGTAGAAGCAAGCAAATTATTCTTCAACAAGACGGGGCTCCAGCTCATGGAGCTAAATCAATCAAAGAATATTTTTTGCAGAAAACGATAAATGTGATCCCTTGGTGCCCTAGATCACCAGATCTCAATCCAATTGAAAATATTTGGTCTTGGATTGACAATCAACTTACATATTACCAAATACAATTAACTGTACACTTAAAGCAACTTTTGAATGAGTACTGGTTGAAGTTACCTCAATAGATGTGCATGAAACTAGTTGAATCGATGCAGAAACGAGTTTACCTTTGCTATAAAATCAAAGGCAGACGTTATAAATATTAACTTGGCATTTTATTTACATTTTTTATTTGTTTGTAAAATTTCGTTTAAACTTGTGCTACTCATTTTTCACATGTTTATGTTTGTAATTAACTTTTTTTAAATTTATATAAATCATTTCATAACAAGTTCACATTTATTCTAAACCAAATTACTTTTAAGTCCACATCATTTTTATTTATTTTGTTATTAAAAAAAAATAAAACTACTTGATCAAATTACACTCTCGTTTAAACTTTCGTGAATAGCTGAACATACTTATTGATAAATATATACATCAAACGAATAATATTTAATTATATATATGTATATATATATATATATATATATATATATATATATATATATATATATATATATATATATATATATATATATATATATATATATATTAATAATAATATTTGAAGCTGTGTTCTTGAGAGTCTCAAGAAAGAATCTAACCACTGTAGATGTTAGATTTTAACAACTGTTTCTCGCTAAACTTCTTAAGTTTATTTTTAAAATCATTAACTGAATTAGCGTTAACAATTTCACTGTCCAAACGATTCCAATTTTCAACTATACGGTTCGTGAAGAAATGATGCCTCGGCAAAAAGTTTTAAACATACTGCCTTTGCAACCTTTGATTGCGTCCTATAGTTAGCCTACCTAATACTTCTGGTTCACGAAGCCAATTGATAGTATCAATTTTGTTCATGAGTTTGTACATTTGGATAAGATTACCTTTTTCTCTTCTATTTGATAGATTTTGTAAGTCTATTTTATCTAATCTTTGCTCATAACTGTTTTTCTTTATTTTGTAGCCAAATTTTGTAGCTTTTCGCTGAATTTTTTTCATTAAGTTTATATCTTCAATAAAATATTGGTACCACACTTGAAAAGCATATTCTAAGTGTGGCCGAACGAGTGACATAAATAACAATTTTGTTGATGTTTCATCTGGATAGAGAATTGCGTGCTTTAACATACCCATATTTTGATTCGCCTGACCATTTTTTCAATGTGATCTTCCCATTTTAAATTATACGAAATATAAACACTAGGTCTTTTTTCAATGACGTTAATATTAGTCCATGTTGAATAATCTCTGCTTCTGTAGCATTATATTTTAAATTATACTTTTTTTCGGATTATCACGACCAAAATGCATGATTTTACATTATTAAAACTGATAAGCCCTCTTTTAGCCCAGTTAAATAAGATGTCAAGATCAGACTGTAGATAGTTATTTATTTAATTTTTTTTAGAACTGCAATTATTTTTAAATCGTCTGCATATTGTTTTGCTTTATTATATTAAAACGGAAAAAGACACATACTGAAACTTTTTAGTCCCTGCGTAATAAGATAATAAAGTATATATAAAATTCACATCTAGGAGGTAATCCACTGGTATTTAGAGTGGTAGCCCTCCAACCAAATAAAGAAACATCAAATAATGAATACTGATTTTTTACTGGAAAAAAACTGGCCTGTTTTTGGTCCAGGCAATCATTCAACTGCAGCTAAACTTTTACATGATTGGTGTGGGAAAATTTCTCAATTTGTTTTATCACTCTCTGATCAATTGAAAAGTTTAGAACAAAATGATAAACAAAATTTGTGTGAAATTAGCAAATTGAGATCTGACTTGAATGCAGCAAATGATAAATTGAAATCTTCTAGTATTAGCAATCATTGGGTTCAGATAGTAAAAAATGGGAGTAAAAATTCAAAACAGCCAGTTGAACAGTTAACTGTTAAAAATGTAACAATCGAGTTAAACGAGAGAGAGAGAAGCGCAAGAAAAGTATTATTTTTTACGGAGTACCTGAGTCGAAAAAAGAAGTATTTCTTGAAAAAAAAAGAAGATGAACTTGCAATTAAAGGTATTTTGTCTTTCATTAATAAAGCTGAAGTAAAGCCAGTGTATTTGAGAAAGTCGCATTCTAAAGATTCAACAAAACCTGGTCCTATCCTTGTTGAACTTAGTGAACCGAGCCTACGAAATCCAATGCTTTTAGCAGCCAAAAACTTGAGAAATAGTGAAGTTCATAAATCAGTATATTTAAGTCCAGATTTAACTGAAGCAGAAAGGCAGTTGCATTATTAACTTAGACAAGAGAGAAACAGATTAAATTTGGAATTGAATTCTAACTCTCCCTTTCCATATGGAATCCGTCGAAATCAATTCCAAAAATTCAAAAAAACCTAATTTAGATAAAGAGTTCTATCAAAACATAGAAAATAATATTTTTTGGAAATGCATGTACTTAAATGCAACATCTTTAGAAAATAAACTTGATGAATTTACGGTTGTTGTCAATACAAATTGTCCATATATAATTGGAGTTACCGAGACTTGGTTCAAAAGTGTCTCAAAAGTCAATATTCAGGGATACAACATTTATAGAAGAGATAGATGTGATGGTCGAAGAGGAGGTGGTGTATGTCTATATGTAAAAAGTTCGATTGATTCATATGAGCTAAACAATATTCAATTTAGTCAGAGCAAAATTGAACAAATCTGGGTTTTACTGTTCTTTGGTAAAGATAAATATTTAGTTGGTTGCCTCTATAAACCAAGTGATTTTATTGATATGGCTGCTTTTGATTAAGTTTTTAAAGAAGCTAGAAATTATGTGGATAAAAAAGGGTTTAAAGATGTTTTAATTATGGGAGATTTTAATTTTTCTTTAATAAATTGATCTAATGGAAATGTATCTTCTATTATTAACAATTCAGGCATTGAACATATCTTCAGTAACACGTTAATTGACACTTTTCTATATCAGCATGTAAACACTCCAACTTTCTAAGTCTTAAATGAAATAGCAGTTAATATATTGGATTTAATTTTTACGACTGAATTTGGAAATGTATGTTCAATAGATACACAGTTTGTGCTTGGTAATACTATTAAAGGACGCTTGGTAATATTTTTTAATTACTTTCTTAAAAATAAAATAAAGCTTCTACCTGTTATAAATTTGTTTACAAAAAAACAAATTACGAAAAAATTTCTCAATTTTTTTCAAATGTTGATTGGGTACAACTGTACAAAATAAGTTAGTTCCGGATATGTATAATGAATTGATTTATTACTTCAACATTGCAAGCAATTTATTTATTCCCACTACTGATGTTTCACAAATTAGAAGTATGGAAACTCCTTGGATAAATAAAGAACTTAAATACCTGACTAGGAAAAAGAAAAATTTGAGATACAAAAACTGTGCTCGAAAATGGAAAGATGCTAATTTGAGTAAAGATTATAAAATACTATGTCGGATTATAAAATCCGAAGTAAAGCGTTCTCGAATGAATTATGAACAAGACTTAATTAAAAAAGCTAAGCAAAATCCAAAATTGCTATATAAATATATTAACAATCAGTTAGTGGTAAAAAATTCAATAAAAGCTTTACAAAAAGAGGATGGATACATTTCACAAGATCAAGTTGAAATCGCTAATATTTTAAACAAATGTTTTCAAGATGTATTTGTTATTGAACCTGATGGTGCCCTTCCTAAGTTTGAGTCAAGATTTAGCAATTATGCTACAAATTTTTCTGATATATCTCCAGACGAAATCAATTATAATGATGTTTTGAAGAGTCTTAACGAAAATAAGGCCTTCGGACCTGATAAACTCCATCCTGCCATGCTAAAGAATGCTTCAGAGGCGTTTGCACTTCCTTTAATATTAATCTTCAGAGAATCATCAGTTGGCAATCAAGCCAACTTCCAGTTTTTAGATCTGCAAATACAACTCCTCTTTTCAAAAAAGGTGACAAGGGAGTTGCAGCTAATTATAGACCAGTTTCCCTCACGTCAGTTGTGTGCAAAATACTTGAAGGTATTATTCTTAACAAAATTGAAACTTAATTTTACAAAAGTAATTTGCTAACAGAGCATCAGCATAAATTCATAAAGATTAAATCGTGCGCAACAAATCTTTTAGCAACAATTGATTTTATAACGTTAAACATCAAAAATCTTACTCCAGTTGATATTGTTCTACTAGAGTTTGCAAAGGCCTTTGATACAGTTCCTCATAACAGACTGTTACTAAAACTAAGAGCTTATGGTATTGATGGATTAGTACTGAAATGGATTGCATCTTTTCTCACAAGTAGGAGACAGAGGGTAGTTAAGGGTGACATTGTCTCTGATTGGGTTGAAGTATTTAGTGGTGTGCCACATGGTTCAGTAATTGGACCATTCCTTTTTGTTGTCTTTATTAATGATTTTCCAGACACAATCAAAAATGTTTCAAAGTTATATGCTGATGATATCAAAATTTTATCAATAGTAAATTCAGATTTGTGTGTCAAAGAAATCCAGAATAACTTGAATAAAGCATTTGAATGGACTCAAGACTGGTTGCTGAAATTCAACATAAGCAAATGTGTTGTCATGCATTATGGCTCAACTAATAAAAGTTATCCACTTTTCATAAATGGTATACAACTTCATGATTCTAAGTCTGAACGAGATCTTGGAATTATATTTTCGACAAATCTTAAATGGAAAGATCAAGTAACTATGGCAATTGGAAAAGCATATCAAATGCTGGGGCGAATAAAGAAATCGTTTGTAAGCTTCGGTTGTCAACTTATGAAATCTCTTTATTAACATTCGTTCGTCCACTTCTTGAATTTGCAATTTCAGTTTGGTCTCCTTATATCAAAGGAGATTGTAATGCGATTGAGAAAATACAACACAGAGCAACTAAAATTGTTTCATCAATTAGCAATCTCAAATATAAAGATCGACTTATTGCTTTAGGCTTAACAACCTTAACTGAGAGAAGAAAAAGGGGAGATTTGATAGCAAAACTTATGCATGGTATTGACAAAACAAACATAAGAAAGTATTTTCCACTTGTTTAAAATTCTTTAAGAGGGCATTGTTTTAAATACCACAAAAAACTCGCTAAACATCCTTCGAGGGAACATTTTCTTTTTAACAGAATTGCGAAAACATGGAATTAACTTCCGATTGAAATTGTAACAGCAAAGTCTGTTAGTTGTTTTAAAAGAGGTCTTGATTGCTGGCTGAACAGCAATCAAGCATAACTGCTGTCGTAGTGTGTGCAACATCACACTCACTGGATTTGTGGATTTGTCCAGTACAGCATTAACTACTATTACTATTACTACTATATATATATATATATATATATATATATATATATAATTTAGTTTTAAAAAATAATAAAGGAAAGACAAAAAATTAAAAAATCATAATATTCTAAAGTAGTAAGTGTTTTGAGAGTTTTGCCGTTAATATAATGATTAGCAATAGGTGTCATTAATCATCTTAGATAAAAAATACAGATATTTATGATATATATATATATATATATATATATATATATATATATATACATATGTACATTTATAAATATATTTATTTGCATTTATAAATATATTTATATACATTTATATATATATATATATATATATATATATATATATATATATATATATATATATATATATATATATATATATATATATATATATATATATATATATATATACATATGTGTGTGTGTGCGTGTGTGTGTGTGTGTATATATAGAGATACATTCTTTTGTTTTTGTATAAGACGGGAATAGTTACAATTTATTTTGTTGTTTTTTTTCAAGTATAGTTTAAGAAAATGTTTGTTATTATTGAAAACTTAGTTATTGATCATCGTATAATTGATATTAAAGGTGTGAAATATATCTATAACGCAAACATATAATATATTTTTATGTTTTAGTCTCACTCTAACAATATAACTCCTATTAGTATAAATGCACCGACAAAAAATTTCACTTGTATTTAATGGAGCTTTTAAAATACATCTAATTGAATGCTACACGTTTATTTCTGAAACAAGCATTCAGTGTAGGAACGGACATTAAAACAAAAGTTATAAAACAAAACTGTTGGTGTTGTCATTGAGTATTTTAGCTTCTACACAACAACAAAATAATATCAAGAACTTTGTGAACATAACTACAAAACAGATTCACAACCATTAAAGAAATTGTAATCGGTATTATGCCATTTGCGATAATCTCTTTGCTTGTCATAGACCAGTGTTGACACAGGCACAGGAACTACAACCTACCTCTAGTAGTAACCTTCTCATTCTTTGTGATGAAACTGTCACGTATTTCTGAACCCTATAAAGTATATCACATTTACCCCTCCCCCTTTCCTTACACAAAAAAAACAAATCATTACGGAATTTTCAACTATCTATTTAACATAGTAAAAATGACTCAATTTAACTAATTTGAAATACCCTCTTACTTTATTGGGAAAGATCGCCGTGATAAAATAAAATGATATAGTATGTTTATTTGAACCTTACGTTTTTCAAATTGCAAGTTAAACTTGTATTTTACATCTACCCATTTATCATTATCCGTCCACGGAGTATTGGAGTGTTCATCTATAGTTAGGGCAGACATTTCTGATGTTTTTTCTAAATCTTCATCTGGAATGATAATTCCCGAAATTTCATCTTCATCCAGCCACTCTATATATATTCTTTTTTTCTGATGCAATAATTTCCATGAGCCCTCTTAGTCTTATAGCGGCTACTCTTATTGGTCTGATACGCCTTGTTAAAGTTTTCTCAAGGACAGTATTTCCTTAATCGCAATTTATTTGCAATCCAACATGTTTTTTCAAGATGGCATGAGAAGCGATATAGAGATAGCAAATTTTACATATTTGATTAGACAGTACTGCTGGACAAAAATTATCTTAAGAATGATATTTCTGCCGATCTTGCCATTATATCATCTATTTTAATACTATATGAAACCAAAAGTGATGGAAACTTAAGAGACTCACTGTTTCCTCATTTGTCAGCCTGAAGATTATTACTTAATTAAATAACTGGAATTGGAGGACATAAGAATCGCGAAGGAACAACATTTAAATATAAGCTTCTAATTCTAAAGTTTAAAACACCTTACATCATGACATTTGACAATTTGAGTAAAGTATTGGCTTGTGCCGACGTGTTTAGAAAACCATTTTAAATCTTTAATCACCAATTCTTCTGCATCTTGCTCAGATGTCTCTGGATCAACAAACTCGGCAACTGTTAGAAACTGGTCAATAATAACTTGTGACCATATTTCAGCCAATATTCGTCCAGCATACTTGAATTTTGTTCTCTCAAAATAACCATTAGTTGTTCTGCCATGTGAATCGAGATGGCTACTATAACATTCACGAGGCAATATAACACCAGAAAGTTCTCTGCTCAATGGAGCCGTTCGATCTTCCTCGCTTTTGAAAACACTTCTACTTGGTGCATTGGTTGCAATAAATAAGACATCTAGATTATTTTTGACAAAATGGTAGGTAGCAACATCCACCATTTTAATCACCTCCATCCACCGTGAAGACAATAATAGGCTTAATCGCCTTATCTCTGCCGTGATTTGTGATTGCATCAAATTCGTCTAATTGTAAAAATCTCTCGAAGTCTAAATCATGAGCAAGAGTTGAAGAAGACTAATGTTTGCCTGATACGATTGCAATATAAGATAAACCTGTATAAGTAACAGCGTCTGGTTTACCAAGTCCATCTTTTTTAATGCACAGTCTTGCATATACTGATGGAATAAACTTATGCCTTGCTGCAACAATATAATAGTGGTCTGGCAATTTGATGAGATATTAAACAGGCATATGCAATGGAGCTTGTCTTTAATTAGCTGCTTAGTCAATTCATCTAGCGTTTTAATACTGCGACACATATCACTTTGTCGTCTTTCATGTGCAGCTGATCCAAGTAAAGCAATATCAATGGCAACAATAGCTCTCAGGAAAAGTGGTTGATAATTTTTAACCGAATGTTGGCCTGTTTTATCTCTTGCTTTTAAAGCATCACAAACTCCAGAATTCTCTGCATAAATTTTAGCTAGAGTTTCTCTCTTTGTTTCGCTAGTTTTTTTCTGTCTTGCTTGTTCTTTTTTTTTTTTTTACAAACCTTTCTCCGACATATCTACTTTTCATTTTTTCTAAATAAGCTCTGCCTCTTGATTATTCGTAATAGTACCACTGTATTTTCTATGTAGTCTAACTAAATTACTCTTGATATTATCAATTTTAACTTTTAGTTCATCTTGAACTTTATTTTTATATTTTCCTAAATTTTCAGCACCAGACGTTATCATAGAACATTTACAAGAAGAAGCTTATATTTATTATATTTATATTTATTACCCCCTACAACAGCATCTGGTAATTTTGCAAGAACATTTGGGGCCGATTGTTTGATTTACCCAGAAATTCATCGGTGTACCTTTTTTATTTTTGAACAGAGCATATTCTCTTAACAGGGAGTCTACTTTAACAGAAATGTTATTTTCAGATTTCACTTTACTCCAAATATCATTAACTTCCTTTTGACAATCTTGTTTCTCTTCTGTAATTATGCTTTAACATAATTGTCTTTTGTCCATCTTTATATCATGAATTACCTGGAACACATTTGCATTAAATTTCGAGAAATTCAAAATATTGCATTTACGCCATAAAATAAATTACTTAGTTATACTGACTGCTAACTAGCTACTTACCTATTTACATTTTTATTCCCCTTCCTCTCCTCCTAGAAGCGTTACGTACTTTATGGATGACCCCTATAGATGACAAATTTGATTAACTATAATTAGAATAAGTAGGCATTATAAAAAGCCTTGCCTTTTGTTGTTTAAAGAGTAATTTTTTCTTTTGTATATTTCTGTTGATCGAAAATAAAATATTTTTTTTTTAGCATATAAAATAACGCTCATTTTATTATTATGATACCTTATTTTATAATAATGGAAACACAGGAGCAGTTTCATCTTAATATAAATAGCGCAGTGAATTATTATTAGGCGCATGTGAATTATTATTAGGCGCATAGTTTTATATTAGCGCAGTTAATTATTAGGCGCATAGTTACGCCTATTGTTCGATATTAATTACAGTTCTGTATTCTGTAAAATACACTATTTCTTAGTTTTTAAGTAGTTTTTAAACTTTTCTTACCCGAGTGCTTTCCTAAAGAAGTCGCGACCTTTCATGGTACGAGTTCAAAGTGTTTACAGGTAATAGTTACAGGTAATATAAAATCTTAATTAATTAGTTTATTGTAATAATTTTTTATATTGTACTTTTAAATTTAAAGCTTTGTGTCAATATTGAAAATATACATTACTATAATTCTTAGATTGTCTAGCGTTAAAAGATATTTATTGTTAGTTTCATGCTTTCACATGCTTTTAATAATTAGGATATAAGCCATGCCAATACTTAAAATTAAATAAAATTTATCTTAACTTAATTTTTACTGAAAATTTTGTTATAAATAAAATTTATCTTTAGTATTGTTCGTATATTTGCTCTTTAAAAAAAATTCTGTTTCTGGATTTTTAATAAATAAACAATAATTTATTTTGCATGAATGAATTTTGGTTTAGGATATACTTGTGTTATTACATATTTGTTTTTCTATATTTAATCTGATAATATGAATACGCTAATTTAATATTAGTCGAGTTACGTCATTTTCTAGGCTTTTCTATTTAAAAGTAGTTTCTAGGCTTTTCTATACGCGGTTTTTTGTTTTTTTTTATTTACTAACAACGCGTATTCATGTTGCTTACTGCTAGTATAGCATTAATCATTAAATATATAAGAAAATATATATATATATATATATATATATATATATATATATATATATATATATATATATATATATATATATATATATATATATATGTATATATATATATATCCTTGGAGTCGTGGAAGCGTCATAGTTCGTGTGTTGTGGGAGAGGGAATTTACAAACCCGCGTTAATAACCCGTTTTGTATTGTACATAACGCGTTAATAAGTTTTGCTATTATATTTTATTATTAGAAACACTTTAAAGTTTCTGATAAAAAAGGATATTTGTTTTTTCTAATTTTTTTTTATTTTGAACAAAATAAATTTTTTCTTTTTTTTATAAGTCTTTGTTAATATGGTTGCAGGTTTTTCTCATTTTTATTTAATAAAGATATAAAACCTGTATAACTTTTGATGATGGAAAATTAATTTTATTTTCTATTCATTTGGTTTCTTTATATATATTTGTTTTTAGAATTATTATTTTTTATTTTTTCGAGATTTTTTTAGTTATTTATTAAGTTTTTTATTTTATTGTTAACTTTAAAGTAGTAAAAAAATATATAATTAGTGTTGCTTTGATAAACATGTTTAATGAAAAGGATATTATTGAAATGAATGATAGGCTAGATGAAGTTATGTATTTACTAGATGATTTAAGTACTGTAAGGCGTGTTGAAAATAATCGTAGACGCAATGAAAGATATAGACTTAATCATTTACAAAATAAAATAAATAGGCTTAATTACGATGAAGTTAATCTTCGCCAAAATGAAAGAAATAGGCTTAATCGAGGCAAGTTAATTGTCGCCAAAGAGCTGTTGGACAAGAACGATTGCATTCTAACAGAAGTGACTATTCCAGATTATAATTATTTAAGAAAAATGAATAAAATTTGTCAGCAATGTGGTGCCAGGAGACTTCCAGATAAAACACATTTTCTATGTTGCCATAATGGTAAGGTAGCTTTGCCTCTAATTTCACCAATTGCACAAGCTTTACAGGATTTATTTACATAGAGTTATGTAGATCGTAATGTTAATATTAATTTTTTAAAACATATTCAAAATTATAATGCCTGTCTTTATTTTACTTTTTTCAAAGCAATTGTAGTTCAACCAATAAATCATGGGCCTCCATGTTTTAAAATATG